CTATATAGTCTTTGATAACTTGAAGAAACGCATGAAGGCATTCAGCTTACACTAAATATCGTCACAATAGCTTTCTTGAGTTACGTACACTCGTGTAAAGTAGTTGTGGTTGTGGCTTTCATGAAATGTTGAAGAATGTAGTAGCACACAAGTGGTGAGATGTCTGGTCATGCATACAATTACTATGCTCCTAGATAATAATTCTTTGTTGTCTTGTTCAAAATGAAATCCATGCCATGTCGCGGTTTTAGTAATTTTAGGATCCTTAAAAAGTTCTTTAAACAAATTAATGCGTAGTACGTGACAAAAATTGAATCGTTAAGTCAGCGAGGGAATCATCAATGTCTACTCATGTTTGCTGTTCTTTCGTCATAAAATTTTACCATAATGCCACTCAGTAATAGTCCATGATTATTCTTACCTTGTTGTAACCGGGGATTTTTCAGACGGCAGACTACAAAATCGATTCGTTCTCCTCTTGGGTCACCCATTTTAACCGACGAATCTCACCAGCCAAAGGTAATTTAATGCTGTGAGATGCTGAATCGGACAGATATTGAAATCAATCGAGGATCCGAGATGTTTGCGAGAGTTTTAACATCAAAGTTTGGATACAAATAGTCTTGGTCTGATATTGGTTGTTTAAAAGATGCGCAATATTTTTGCGCCGTTTTCCGCCAGCAATGATTCGGACAGCCACCAATGTTATCGTAAAATGAAAGATATCCAATAACTCCATTCTTCATCAGTTTAAGCAAACAAACGATCACCGTTGCAAATTCAAAACTACTCACTACGGGTGAGCTGCGCCTGACAGTGGATAAAAATTGTTGGAATTAATGCAGTCTATAATCAAAGGAGCGAAATATTCGAATGCACTGATGGACTTGTTAATTTGAATCCCACCTCATCAACACTATTTGTTCTTCTAATTTACATTTGAGGTGCAGAGGTTTTTCTGTTATAACCAGGAAACGCGTCCTCTCAACCCAAGTTTTATGTCGCAACAAGAGTTAAAACGAAAGATGCCATATGTAAGCACATGGGAAGGGAGTAAAGGAAAAGTGTTCTCTTTTTTTTATTGCTTCATTCTAATTCTTCATAAGAATTCACATTTCCGAAAAAATATTGCCCTCCCCTTGTTCAAAACAGAATTTAGCCGCTGAAGGGCGGGGCGGGGCTAGATTCACAGATGCTCTAAGTAAAGGAGTGTTTTAAAGCCCTGAAATTGAGGTAAAGAAAGCATGGACACAAAAATTGACCAAATGGTAAACAAAAGCACAAGAAAGTCTGCCTTTCCAATTAAAGACACCATTTGAGCCAAAGGATTGAGTGATATCCAAAATTCGTACATATCTTTTCACTTTCCTGATACAAGTTTATTTATTTCACTGTGCTTCTTGATTTTTTTGGCACATATATGCATTATCAACCAAGGGTGAAGTCAGGATGGCTGAATATTGGCCGAGTTATTTTTTCGCATATTTATGAACCGAGACGAAGTCGAGGTCCACAAAAATGCGAAAAAAGAACGAGGCTAATATCCAGCTATCTTGACCGAACAAGCTGGTTAATAAAAGATTTATTTTATTGCAAAAAGATTTCGCATGATTAAGAATTAAGAATAACTTGTTGTTTTGACTATCTTCTGCCACTTTTTGCATTTCCATAGTCGAAATTGTCCAAGAATTACGAATTTGATTCTAGTTCTAAGTTTTTCTTACGCGGGATCAATGCAGGTAGTCCTTAGCGGGCAAGATGGGCCCTCGGGTAGTCAATCAGAACACAGGATTCGCTTCATCTTGCCCACGGGCGCTGCAAGCAATGTACTAAATGAGAATATTCACACATGAGATGCCCACTTTAAATGTCAAGTCATGATTATCATTGTAATATCATAGGTGAAAAATTACTCCTTAATTTTTGGCGCGAAATCTCAGCATTAATTTTAACTTCACATGTGAAATTACAAAATTGCCATGGTAATATCTCTTGTATCTCGATCAGAGCCAAGATGGCGTCGTTATTTGAGACGGTGACCCTTGAAGAAGTTACGAAATTAATAGAAGCGGCAGAAAGTTAAACGAAGAATTCGCAAGGTATTTTTTGTGAAGAAACTTAGAAAATTACGAACTTTAACAATAATGTTTGCTTTAAACGAAAACTATATTTGTGAAGGTGTAGTCTGATCGTCCGGGTGAGTGTAGTCCTGAGAAGGACTGTTGTCGGTGGCAGTGACTGACGTTTCGACAACCTGTGCGGAAGTCATCATCAGAGTCAAGTGAATGATTGTTGTCAGTAGAATGTTCTTATTCCAGTTCGTGTGAAATGATCGGTTGGTTTTGCCGTGATGTTATTGGCTGTAAGACTCAAGTGACGTAAGTCGTTCGTGATTGGTCTGTTTCGGTCTGTCGGTAAAGCTAGGTTGTTCTTTTTCGGTCGTTTGTGATGTTTATGTCGTGAATGAGTCGTTTGTATGGGGCGGGTAGTTGTTGACATCTGTTTAGGGGAGTCTGTTCTAAGTTAGTAAACCAGCTTTCCAGAGTCAGTCGTTGAAAATAGTCAGTGCTGTAGGTTAGGCATTGCGCAGAGTCCCAGTCAATGTTGTGGTTGGTAAGTCGATGGTGTTCAGCAATGTGATTGCTGACATCACCTTTCCTCGTCGCCCGTCTGTGTTCAGTCAGTCTTGTTGTGAGGTTTCTGCCAGTCTCACCGATGTAGGAGGCTTGGCAGTCGGAACAATTGATCTTATAAATCGTTCCCTGTCTGTTCCTCGGTTCGTCTTTGTCTTTAACGTTGGTTAGTAACTGACGTAGTGTGGTGATGGGTCTGTGGGCGACGCGGATATTGAAGGGTAGTAAGATGCGCGAGATGTTTTCAGACATACCTTTTATGTACGGTATGGTTGCTGTAGTCGTAGGGGTTGCGGTGTCGTTTGTTTCGTTAGTGGTAGTGGGTCGGTGAGTGTTTCGTCGGATGAAGTCGTTGTTGTAGTTGTTCTTCGTAAAAACACGGTGAAGGTATTTGTTCTCGTCGGATAAGCTGTCTGTCGAGTCACATACTAGTTGTGCGCGTCGTGTTAGAGTTCTGATAGTTGTGGCTTTGTGTGATGTAGGGTTGTAGGATGACTCGTCTAGTAATCTGTCGGTGTGTGTCGGTTTCCTGTAAACTGTCGTTCGTAATGAGTTGTCGTTGTGGCTTACCAGGCAGTCTAGAAAAGGAAGTTTGCCATTTTCTTCGACTTCTCTGGTAAACCAACCGATCATTTCACACGAACTGGAATAAGAACATTCTACTGACAACAATCAGTCACTTGACTCTGATGATGACTTCCGCACAGGTTGTCGAAACGTCAGTCACTGCCACCGACAACAGTCCTTCTCAGGACTACACTCACCCGGACGATCAGACTACACCTTCACATGTTACCCCCGGGTTCAAACCATTTACTGAAAACTATATTCTTCACGTTCTCGGTTTTCGATAGAATAAACCAGTAAAAACAATTACAGCTGTGAACGTAATTTGTCAACCACGATATTAAAAGGTAATCAAATGGTTTTCTCGTGAAATTAGGAAATCATTTCACCTGCGTTTTGTCAAAATTCTGATAATTTCCCTTGCCCAAAGGCTCGGGAAATTATCAGAATTTTGACAAAACGCGCGTGAAATTATTTCCTAATTTCACTCGTCGCCATTTGATTACACATACTTATTATCATTATTATTACTGTCAATATTATTATCAATTGTTATATCCACTATTGATATAAAATACAGCTACAATATATTTCATAAAATGTTGCAAAAACCTAACTAAAGATTACAATAATGTCCCGGCTAGAATACTTATTCATGACTGTCGAAAGCTCTGGCTTTCTAGCCCTGCTATAAACTGGAATGTAGTTGAATTTCTAGCCATCTGACTGGAATCATGTTGAGCTTGTGACCCAGCTCCGAGCTCGTGCCTAGGCTCTGACAACTATAGTCTATGAATTTGTCAGTGAAGTGAGAAAGACACTTTTGTATGAGAGCTGTGAAGCAATAACAGAAAAATTCAGTTAGCTTCACAGCTTAGAACTACATGTAAAAAAATCACAGAACTATGTAAAAAAATCACAGAACTATTGGGAAATTAGTTATTTTGTGTGTGCATTTTTTAAAAAAATTATTCTTCTTATCAGGCTTGCCAAATATGAGATTATCCACTTGGCATTAAGTACTTTGTAATTGTCGGTTATTTATCATCTCATATTTGGCACGTTCTGATGGAATAACTGTTAAACGACATGCACTCTGGAAGGACTAAGTTTATGATTGGTTGCTGCAGAATATCATATCACCAAATGATATAGGACCAGCTTTTTGTTCTGAACTGAAATTACCACCTTTTTCTGACTGTCTGGTACGCCGTGACGACAACTCACTACGGACGACAGTTTACAGGAAACCGACAAACCGACAGACCACTAGACGAGTTATCCCACAAACCTACATCACACAAAGCCACAACTATCAGAACTCTAACACGAAGCACGCAACTAGTTTGCAACACGACAGACAGCTTATCCGAAGAGAACAAATACTTTTACCGTGCTTTTTCAATGAACAACTACAACGACGACTTCATCCGACGAAACACTCACCAACCTACTACCACTACTGAAACAAACGACGCCGCAACTCCAACGACTACAGCAACCATACCGTATAAAAGGCATGTCTAAGAACGTCTCACGCATCTTACAACCCTTCAATATCCGCGTCGCCCACGAACCAATGACCACACTACGTCAGTTACTAACCAACGTTAAAGACGAGGATGAACCGAGTAACAGACAGGGAGCGATTTATAAGATCAATTGCCTCCGACTGCCAAGCCTCCTACATCGGAGAGAAAGTAAGAAAGGACACTCTTTCTGTGAGAGCGTGTCTTTGATTGCTAAGTTTTATCAAACGGGGGAAATCTTATCGTCTTCTCCGCTAAAAGTTTTAGGTATTTAGCTAGTTTTTTGCTTGCCAGTGGCGTGAACTGATGTTTTAGTAATGTCACTTATCTTAGCACGTGTCTTGAGACAAAGAAATTTGTAGAAGGCTCTTTTGAACTGAGGAAGCCTCCATGCGTATAGATAAGGGTTGATACCAGAATTACACAAAACGATTAAGCATTGCAAATCCCGCAACCAATGGATCAACACACAACTACAGCCTAAGCAAAAATTTAACAAATACATCATAACACAGGCTGGCGTGCACGAGGCAAAAAATGCAAGAAGCACAATCATTAATGCTTTGGTTGCCTTGCTGTCCTTTGTATTGACAGGATTTTTCTGGTTCTCCTGTTCATCAGATCCCGTCCCCTTCTCTGCTCTCCTCTTTTGCCAATATCTCGATCTCTGTCGTAGTCTTTTAAGTATTCCTACGGGAACAAAGATTAGAACCCCAAACGTGCTGAGAACAGTAGTGTTTGCAAAAACAAAGGAGTAGAATATGAATCCCAGTTCAATGTATACAAAGGAAAACCCCAGCGCTGCCACCCAAATTGATGTGGAGGTAACCATTGTTTTGTACTTCACTGGCGACGATACGGCCACATATCTATCCACAGTAAGTGCAACGAGTGTTAAAATAGACGCCGTACATGAGATGAAGTATAGAATGTGTGGGATTTTTCTATGTAAGAAGTCAAGTTGAATCGCCTCGCCGGTGTGAACAGCAACTGACCTGATTTTGCTGCTCAGGGAATTAACTTTCTTTTCGGAACGCGACACCACTGGACTTTTCCTTTTTTGTAGATACATTGACGACGGATTTTTGTTGACAGACAAAAACAACATTACAGATCTTATTAACCATTTATCCCCTACATATCCTTCCCAAACCCCAATCACTTTCACCATCAATTGTCATTCCATTCACTAGCTAGACCTCACAATTTCCCTCAATTATCACACCATACTATATCACAAAATTCACCATCAGATTTACTAAAAACCCCATCACAAATACATGTACCCCCATTTCTCATCAAATCACCCGCAACACATCATCACAGGCATCATCAAGACTGAAACTGTGCGATATAGCAGACTATCAAAAACCAAAAATGACTACGACTTTATACACAAACTCTTTTCTCTACGACTGACCGCTCTTGACTACCCCAACAAACTAATCACTAAAAACTCTTACCCCTGGCCACCTTACCACTATCACAAAAGACGACGACTCACCAAAACAAACCAAACCACTAAGAGATCTACAATCTACTACCGCAGCAAATACAACAAGCATGCACGAACAGACAAAATAGTACGCCACATCCTACACAAATACCACAACATGCATATCCCCAAACTCACCAAAGCATACAGCAACACCACAAAACTGCACACCATGCAACTCACCAATAAGCTATTACACTCAAAAATTAGCAAATAATAATAAATTTTAATGCCATTAAATTTTTTTTCTCTGTATTTCAATTTTTACAGTTTATGGATTCCAACATGATCATTACGTTCTTATACATTTATGTGCCTTGAGCTATTTTCAAACTAAATCGCAACAAAATTCTCATAAATGTAGATAAGACATCCCTGATGTTCTTTTCTTAACACTTTAATTCCATTTCGAGACTGTAATTGACCATTAAAGCCACTATGTATATAATTCTTAGGTAATTTATTAAAGAATCTACCTTATTCTTGCCTTATTATAATCTTTCAACATTTTTCATTGATAATCTCAAAGAATTTTGTAATTTATCTTAGCTCATTATTGCATTTTAACTCATAATTGTATTTTAGCCTTGCTCATTATACTTATTTTAATGCATAATTATTGTCAAAACTCGAATTTGTTATAATCGAGCTATATTTCTATACTTATAGCCTCCCCTTTTTGCGGGGCTTTCTCCACACTATCTCCATCAAAAACTGTCCTTTTGTTAATGACATCTGTTTTATATTGTAAAAGTATGCACAACAATTTAATCCACTTAACTTTTGGTATGCTCTATGCTTTATTTATTGTTTCACATCTACTCTAGCTATTATCTACTTTAATAGATTGGATATATCTACTCTACCTATTCTCTACTTAAATAAATCAATATAATAATTGTTCCCTTTCCGATCTTTATTTTATTTAACTCACTGTTCGACACCATACTTTTCGGCGAGCCATTCACAACGAAGGTGGTCGATGCATCCCAACAGTTAATCACTTTCCGCAGCCAGGTTAGAACGAAAGATCTCAAGAATGGGTCCTCGCCCTCTTCCAACAACGTCCGATAACCTTACATCGACGTTTCCATTCCATTACTTCTGCTGACACACGTAGTGATCTCCTTTATCTCAAGAAATAATTCATTTTCAAAACATCTCGCGGGTCAAAATCCCTTTTACATCGAGGAATGATTAAACACTCTTCATCAATTTCCCAAGAGCAATGGCGCGCTGCCTATACTTCATAAGACTCGCGCAATACGATCACGCCATTCTGACGTGACCGTCCCAGATTAAGATCTTTCAACTCCGCTAATTCGCGACACGGAGCCGATGGCGAAAATCTTTTTTCGTTAGAAATATATATATATATTTTTTTCCCTTTGGATATTAAGGACAAGGCAGCTCCCTCTCATATTTCTTAAGGTATCTATCTTTATTTTCTTCATATAAACATTAACACACACCTCCCCTCTTAATTCTAATTCCCGTTTCATGACACTTCCGTTCAGTGTACGCACACTTAAAATTATTATTATTTTTTTGTTTTTTGTTTTGTGTTTTTTTTGTTTTTTTGTTTTTTGTTTTTATTCATTTATTTATTTTTCTTTTAAATTACATGAGTATTCTCTTCTGTATTAGCACCGCATTGTTTGTCTCTATACATAAGCATTGCATTCTCCTCCGTACTATCTCCGAAAAAATTTGTTTTAATTTGTTTACATAAGTTTTCTCTTTTATTATATCTGAAATTTTCTTTATTTAGTATACATATTTACTTCCTTCTATAATATCAAAAAAAATGTGTTTTTTTCTTCATAGTAGGTTCCAATGACTTTCTAATTTCTCACTATAATTGTAAAGTTTTTCTCGCTTTCTTCAACAAGGACTCGGCACGAGGATGTCGGGCATTGACCTGGTACCAGGTTAGAAACATCCTCGCTCGGTTGTGCTTTGCCCCTGACGACTCACAACCATTAGGAACCTTGGTGCCGATGCATCCTTGTCTCCTCACCCGGCCGGTTGATTTTCATTTCTCTCCATCTTTGAACAACTTTCATAGACACCTCACATCTTCTTTCACCACTCCTCGATCCAACTCCTTATACTATAATATATAAAGTCTTCTGTTAATATATGTATTTTGCGGTAAATGGCTTGAACCCGGGGGTAACATGTGAAGGTGTAGTCTGATCGTCCGGGTGAGTGTAGTCCTGAGAAGGACTGTTGTCGGTGGTAGTGACTGACGTTTCGACAACCTGTGCGGAAGTCATCATCAGAGTCAAGTGAATGATTGTTGTTCGTGGAAATGATCGGTTGGTTTTGCCGTGACATCACGGCAAAACCAACCGATCACTTCACACGAACTGGAATAAGAACATTCTACTGAAAACAATCATTCAGTTGACTCTGATGATGACTTCCGCACAGGTTGTCGAAACGTCAGTCACTACCACCGACAACAGTCCTTCTCAGGACTACACTCACCCGGACGATCAGACCACACCTTCATATATGTATTTTATTAGCTCTTTACACATCCTTCTTATTACACAAAGTTCCATATTATTTACCTTTATTCTTTTTATTCCCCCCCCCTGAAAACAAATATAAACCTGGACCCTTAGCCCACCCCACCACGAAACGTTTTAACATAACCCCTCACCATAAACTCACAGGAAAAGTGTTAACAATACCATGTTATCTTTATATGTCATCTATAATTTAAAATACCTAACACAGTTTTTCATTACATCATTTACAACCACTTATCAAGAGGGCAATAGGAATAAAGACTGCTCCTCTTCTACCTGTATCCTTCCCATTCCTGCAGCCACCTGTCCATAAAAATAATTGTAAAAGGAGAATACTTTCTTTTTATCAATAATCCTTTTTTCCTATCCTATCAATAACCCCTTTCCCCTTCCTACAGTCAAAAACAGAGACCCCATACCACAAACCCTAAGCAAACCCTTACCTATTAGTAACCTTTATCCCACCCAAACCCTAACCCTAACCCAACCCTTATCTAGCACTAACCCTAACTATAACCAAAACTCCTATTATAACATTAGCAATTTAACCCTAAACCCTAAATGCTTTCCCCCCCTCTTGCTAATAGTTACTCATATAATATTTCAACTTCATTTTATTTTATTTTATTTTGATTTTATTTTTTATTTTAATAATATATAACATATATTTTTTACAATTTTAAATTGAGTTTAGGAGTGTGCTGTTGTTACAGAGGTCACTCTCTCAATTTTAACACCTAACAAACGAGATATTTTCAGCACGAGAAGATAAAATTCGTATCCCCAAGCGGCCATATAATGTTCTGTTTATTATATAGATACTGATGAAATTTCCACATCAAAGAAAACTTTTTTTATTCATTTTCGAAACAGCAATTGGGTAATTATTTTGGTAACCATGGCCACACCAATATCCTCACACCTGAAAGATAAAAATAGTATCTTCACTGCGCGCGGTGAAGATATGATTTTTTATTAAAAGGAGAAATCCTGGTATTTCATCAGTATCCATATAATAAATTTAAATATTCACATATCTCGAAGGTTATCAAAAGTTGTGTGGTTGTCTTGTTGTAAAAGAAATATGTATTTTACAGATCGTTAGTATGTAGTTATTGGCACTCATCAAGTAGGTAACTTGTATTAAAACAACTGCAACAACATCTGTTCTATCTTTTTACCTTTGTTTGTTTCGAACTTTATTTTTGCTCTTCTTCTTCCAGTTTAAAAACCTCGAGTGATATTTTCACATATCAAATACTCTTAGATCAGCATTATGTCTGATAGTTTTCTTACTGTTACTGCTTTTTTTCTCATTATTCCCGTTATACGACACGCGTAACCTGTGTGCAGTTTGTATTTGCATCTTTTCATGAAATGAATTCTTCCTCTTTCATGTGTGTAATTAGACTGAGCCTCTTGCAAATTGACAGTTCGTATTCACAAAAAGCTTATCTATGGAAATGACACATGACAGCGGTGTTCAGCTTTGCCTTTTGCTTTGGTGGATTCTGGATTGTTGCTCGGTATTTGCTTAGGGCTTCTCAAAGTAACTCGTCTAGAGGACACTTGTTACAAGAGGAGAGTGGGACACTGGTGTCTACTAGAAATTGCAAAACCGTAGAAAATATCTCGCAAAGCCGCGAGACCGCAAAAAAAAGATTCGTCCAAAACCGTCAAAACTAATGTGAGGCGTTTGACTGAACCTGCAAGAACTTGTTTCTAGTCGCATAGCTTTTTCCACCGTCAAAATAAATTAGCAAATAAGTCATTTTGATTGACTTTGTTTCTCGCTGTTACCGAAACTGAAGTACAGAAAATTTCAAGACCTTTTAAATACCAAGCATAGCTTCAAGCTATAGGTTTCCTATTCAGTTCCTTTTCAGCGCGCGCTCGCACCCAGTCCATGTCACGTCTTCGTGTCTAGTTCTTCATGCATTACTCGCGACTACCCTCATTACTTTAACCTTCTTTCAAAAAGAATTCTCTCAAGTATTGACCGAGTGATCTCTCTGTTGTAATTCCAAGTGTTTCTCTTAGTTGCTTCGGTAAAACAAACACATCAGTGTTTATTGTTGCTATCCTTTGCGTTTCTAAGTCAAACTTATGTTTGACGTGCACAACCAGAGGGCTCCC